GACCCCTACACTACTGCGACGCTACCTCAAGTGAGTCGATCTGTTAGAGGCATCACAGCAAGTCATAAGCCGGGGCTGGCATCATCCAGTGCTCGACTGAGGAGGAGGTCACAGCCTAACGTTTCGAATGCCATCACGATGGACCCTTCTGATCCACGCACAACTCTCATGTTAAAGAACATTCCAAATAAGTACACTCGACAGCTCCTGGTCAACGAGGTGATGGCTCGTATGCCGGTGGGGTCCTTTGACTTTGTGTATATGCCCATTGACTTCCGTTCGCGGTGCAATTTCGGCTATGCCTTCGTCAACGTCACTGAGCCCAAGTACACTCATATGTTCTTTAACGCCTTCAAGAATTCCCGACTACCTGGGGTCAAGAGTAGTAAGGTATGCGAGGTCGTTTACGCTCGAGTTCAGGGTCTGCAAGCGAATGTCAATAGGCTCATCAACTCGCCAATTCTCGACTGCACGCCTGCTGATGATGACGATGCCCTCCCACTGGTGTTTGGCGACCATAACGAGCAAATCCCCTTCAAAAAACTGGCGCAGATGAGGAGAGAGCGCCAAATGCAGATCAGATCTGGCAAACGAGGCCACCATGCAAAACAGCCTACGACCATCCATGAGAATTCACAGTTGCCAGCGACGACTTCCACGGCTAGTGACACGTGGGTGCCCACCATTTCGAGTGTCCCTAGCGGCCCGGGGTTGGAGTCGTTATTATGGGACACCATGCCCCTCGATGACACCAGCAGTTTCGTGTCGGCCCCTACTCTGTTGTTTGGTGCTAATGGCGGGCAATACGGAGGTATTTCGAGTATGACAGGAACCTCCGCAAGGCTTGTCGAGGAGGAGCAGGGTGACCATCACAACAACATGCTCCAAAGCCCGGACTGGCAACCCTGTGATACGGACCGTTTGGTATTGGACTCTCTCAATATGCTGAGTCTCGAGTAGGAGTGGTATGGTGATCCAAGGGCAACGATAATTTATTATCATCTTCCTCGTTGATTACCACAATATTGTAAGATTATAAGACGGCTACTGCCTTCCCCTTCAGACTAGTATTGTATCTTCATCGTTGTTAGTACTTAATCTCTTCGTCAGGTGGGGTGGCCGATGGTGACACCATTTTCTCTTGTCACTATAACTCCAGTGATTTCCATGCATCATCACACGGCCACCTCGGAAGGGTATCATCTTCTCACTTTGCCGATGGCGATGTCTTTGTTGTCGGCGCTATTTTCCCACAATATTTGATGTTACAGATGATGATTACGGGGTGTCGATGATGGTAGCGGTAGTAGCATTTTGTATAGACTTATACAATAATTTTCGACCTTCTTGCAGGACTCATTTCTCGGGACGGAAGCCAGTGAGGGTTGCTCAGTGTCGCTGTACTGTTCTCATTGACGATGCCACGTGGCCTCGTGTTGTTGTTATTGAAGATCGTCCCTCGTCGTGGCCTCTGTGTCCCTTATATTGACTCTTTTTCTCTCCGTAAAAGTTGTTATATTTACCTAGGTGTTATCCTGCCATTTCCTCAACCCTCACCTCAGTAGCCCAGTGTTACAGTGTACCAATGCTTTCCGTTATACATGGTTGTTCATGTTCTGATTTTCACAGGATTGGTTCACTGACTTGTTATAGGTACGCCTTGCTCGATGGTCTTCCCATAAGGTTTACCTCTCAGCCTAGTGCGGCGAGCAGTACTACTGGTAATATAAACTTCCTATCGGTTTGCTCTTCTGAGTAGGCCTTGTTCGGTGACAGTACATCGGGCAGAGTCCCCAGAAGCATCTGAGGAGAACAGATGCGTGATTAGGATAAGGGAATTGATCAGTAGTAGTCTTCATGGGCCGTAGGGGATAATACTCTACAATAGAGTTCATTCTGAAGGGCGGTGCCGAGTCAGGTGTGTCGAGTTGCTGTTATATGGGGACGTAGTAGCCTCCTTTGCTACCACTACGTGAATGGCATACTATGGTGGTGGTGTTGGCGGCACTGCATCATCATCGTCACAGTTCATGCAGCAGGGGGTAGTGGCTTCCGCCGCTCCACAGTACTCCCTCGCTTCCTCGCCACCCAATAATAATACTACTACGACCCCCCAGCAATATCAGGCAACAGCACCGGCGTCGGCAGGGACGGGGGGTTACTACCAATGGGATGGTGCACGTCAACAGGTAGTAGTAGTAGTAGTAGTAGTAGTAGTAGTAGTAGCTTCATTTCAAATTCAGTTGGAATTTGAATATCATCAAATTCCAACTGACGAGTGGACGCCTAGCGCACATGATACTTAGGGGTAGAGCTGGTAGGAACTTAGTTGTGGTTTCGGCATATGGTCCTACAGAAGAGGCGAATAGCGAGGAAAAGGATAGTTTTTGGGAGGATCTCGAGACAGTATTGGAAGATATCAAAGGTATAGACGAGCTGGTATTAGCCGGGGACTTTAATGGTGAGACTGGGCGGGATGATGAAGGTCGTGCAATCGGAAAATGTGCAGTTGGGATACAAAATAACAACGGAAGTAGGCTTTTGCAGTTCGCTAATGAAAAGGACCTGAGTATTGCGGCGACCTCTTTTAAGAAAAATGGGAGATGCAAATTTACTTTGAGATGTAACTTTCACACAGATTACAATAGGAATAAATATAGAGAGTATGACCACTTCCTAATCAAACGGAGGGATAAGAGGACTGTGAGAAACGTGAGATCTCGGTGGGACACCTTTCATCAGTCAGATCATGCAATGAGATTATTATATGTAAATCTGAAGCCTTGCAGAACCGGGAGCTGCAGGGCCAGAGCCAATGCATCAAGAATCCTGAGGTCATCTGAGGCTGGTGCCTCAGTAGGCGAGGTCTTACGAGATGAAATATACGTGAGTGCCATGAAGGAGTCATCGGACATATGTATAGAGGACAGATGGTGTAAGTTCAAGGAGGCGATAGAGAGAGGTGCTAAAGTGTGCGCTAAGG